TACTGTTTCGTGGGTGGTGGTGCTCAAATATTGTTTAAAACTGTCCGACAATGTAGCGAAACAAGGCTATCCATGCGCCAGGTAGGCTCAGTCTAATATTGTTTGAACTCTTAGGATTACAACCTAACGAGCTGGGGATACTGGCTGGAAACCTTCAAGCCGGGAAAAGGTACAAGTGGATTGTTGACGCCGTGCCCAACAATCTCAGACCCACGGTTTCTGTAGAGTATGAGGCGGCTACGGCGTACAAGTACAATATGTCCTGCACCGCGGCTCCAACTCTAGGTATTGTATTGTCCATCTATTCCACCAAGCAGATGTGGCTCCGTCTCAGTGTTTTACCTGATTGTGTTTTGTAACGCTAAATACTGTTTTGATATTGTACCATTTGGCACTTTCTAGCGAGTGTCCTCACTATAGCAGACAGACGTAGTAAGGCCGAAAAGACCGAAAATAACATCAACCGATTCATCTTCTTGAAGATTTTCGGTCCTCACAGATGCATTGCACATGTCGATGTCCTTCATAGGTATCTTTTTTTGCACGTCCAATACACCAATCCTGACTGCCCTTCACAATTACACTTCAACCACTGATAGCATGGAAATAACGTTCTCAATGAGAAAGAAGTTACAGGTTCAGCAAATATCTGCATTTTTTATGTTTTTGTTTTGCGTTTCTACGTTTTGAAGGAGGCGGGGCTTTGCGTTTTAATGGGTTTTACCTTGTTGTTGTGTAGGTTTTTCGTGGCAGACAAACTTCGCCATCACCGCAGTAGTCGAGGTGGAACCACGCAGTGAACATGGAGTGAATCTCAATGCGCATCCTGTGACCTATACAGTTACAACAGACGTATCAACTTTAGCTCAAAATTCAAGACTCAATTCTGTTGAAACTCCTAGCATCCTAGCAGGCAGTGCAGCCGACAACTTTGTCGTCCCCATAAACGTGCTGGCGGTCGGCGATGACATGTCAGTGGCGATGTGCAGGGTCGACATTGTAGTGAGTAAAGCAATAACTCATCGTCATCATCATTGTTGAAAAATACTGTTGAAATACGTATCACTGTTATCTTGTGTGGTATACATTATATGTTATGATGTACATCTATGAGGGTAGGTTAGATATCTTTGTTTAGAAGGCTTGATTGATTGATTGATTGAATGAATGGTTGATTGATTGATTGATTGATTAGTTGATTAGTTGATTGATCACTGTCATCGATTAGGTCCTTCCGCCCGATGGACCAATCGGAGTGTGGCAGAAGGTCCTGACGTCATCAGATCAGGTGGAAACAAGCCTGTCCATCCGTGACTATTCCTCGGTTGCTGTCGTGTTAAATGTCATCGCAGAGGATTTGGACTATATCTCTGTGTCGGTGTGTACTAATTACAATGTTTTCTACTACATGTAGATTGCAAAGAATACCATTTCAAATGGAAAGAATTCTTAGTTGTATCATCTGAGCAATATATTTACTATATCGATATTTTCAACATGTCATTATGACATGTTTATGATGTTGTAAAGTTGCATTTTCAACCAGAAGGAAAATCAAGCACTATGTTGGACCTCAATATAATAAAACATGACTGGTTCACATATTGTTTAACATTAGTTGTGTGTGAGACTCCAGGGCTATACAAAAGGGCAGTTGTGGCTCTGGGATCCATTTGAGACGTCTGTTTACTAGTATTCTATTTCTTTCATAGTCTTACCATAGATCCTTATGACAATTTACATTCTTGTCATACAGTTATAACTGAAGTTGCTGTTCGTGCACAGCAGGTGAAGTTTCAACAATTGACGAATCTATTTCACCCTTGAACTTCATCCAACACATGGATATACGTTCCCTCTTTTTGACCCCAGGGCGCGGATATGTCCAGCGCATTGATACAGCAAGGCTTCGGGGATCTGCTGCAGCAGGCCCGCAGGACCGCCCTGTCCTCGACGCCGCCGCCGTACAGAACCTCCTCCAGGAACGTCTTTGCTAAAGATTGGAACTCCGCCTCGAGCACGGCTGAGCTCCTGAGACTGCTGTCACTGCCCACGGGAGATGAACTAGAGGTATGTCACATATTCTATGGTAGAAGTACCGTCAACAAAAATTATATATGGAACAGTTACACAAACGTTTCTTTTACCATACCAGTCTAGGGCTATAGATTCATAACTATAGTCAACTTTAACTTTTCTTACCATTTCCATATTACATAACATTAATTTTCCCTCTATAATGCTAGCGTTCATCTCTTTTTTCAGTACCATGTTGGTTAACGTTGATTTACACGCTAAAACTTTATTTCTCAACAGCTCCAGAAGTTTGTACGATCTACACATATCGAGCTGCTCTCGGCTCACATGTCCAGCCTGACTAGTCTGAACCAGATTGAACTGGCGTCAGAGGCGCTGACGACGCTATTCGGCACGGGGGAACTGGTGAACCCTGGAACAGAGGTGACAATGTTTTACCCTACAGTACTATCCAAGCAGAGCTTGCATGTGATTGCGCATATTCTGCACACTAGTACTGTTTTTCTGAATGCCTGAATGGTACGAGCTTCTTTAAATCCCAACCGAAGCACCACCGAAGCCGGTTATATCATAAGTCGGACACATATAATCATCCAGGGTGCTTGGCGAACGAGAATGTTTCATGCATTCCTCAGCAACTTCTCCCTTTTTGACATTTTAGTTTTCAACGTTTTGTTTAACCACTTGGCCTGCTGTACAGGCCTGCTGGAGGCTAGACCATGTAACGTTTATCGAGTACATACATGTAGCAGATTTATATGATTTATCTTACAACGTCTCAATATGCCTGGCAGGTTCTCTTGGTTGAGGCCATGTACAACGCAGGGCTTGCTCTCTACAATGTAACCTTATTCGGCGGACAGCCGATAGATCGAGACGCCCTGCTGTCTGCATCAACAGGTGTGCTTTTCTTCTTCCTGAACATTAATTTTGTATTTTGTATCATAGCAATGTAGCTCTTTCTAATCTTTGTGTGCATTTGTGCGAGCGGGCAACTCTTTAAGGTATTTCAATCTTGGTATCCTCTCTTTTAATTTAGGGAGATTCCCGGTCGCATTCACCCTTAAAGTGACGAATATCGCCTTTGTATAAAAATGCATTGTCTTATAATCTATTTCTACATATACGTTTTCTGTTGGCATCTATTTCAGTCCTTCACGATGGACTAGGTTCAGCCCTGGACAGCGCGCTAAGTCAACCACTGACAGCAACAACCTGGGTTCCTCAGTCGTATGGAGCAGCCGAACAGACAAAGGTACTGGTCGCCTGTTGATGTCTTTGCACAGTAGATGTCAAGTGTATTTTATCTAGCTAAATTTCTCTTGAAATGAGAAATAATTCAATTCAACGTTCATTGAGGCATCGAACGATATATAGACATTGCTACTTCCCCAACAATTACTTTGAGTAGGCGGCTACCCATATATCTAACATTCATTGAAAGAATTAGTTGGAACGAAGACAATTAATGAAATGTACTTCGTAATGTAGGCGCAGCAAGTCATGGGTTATTTTCTCACCACGACGGAGATGTCCCTCCGCACGCTCCTACACAACACCACAACCGGCTCACCTCCTGTAGTCATCCGCTCCGCGGCTGCGACAGTCATCTACCAGCGACACGCCAGGGACCGTGTGCAGGAGGGAGAGTTCAGTCGGCAAAGATCGGAGGGCTTCGTTACCTTACCCGAACCAGACGTTGTCTTCCAGTCGTCGGGAAACGACGCCGTGGTGGACTCGAGAGTGAGCATGTTGTTGTTGTTGTTGTTGTTGTTGTTGTTGCCTCTGCTGCTATTGTTGTACGTTGTCGCCAGTGCAGTTTAAAGCACATGGATAGCTACGAACAAGACGCAGATGTTGAAGTTGTTGGAATACTATTCCAGGCCTATAGACACTAGTACAAACGTTCAAATTGATATAAGATGCCTGAATGAGACAGATGACTTCATGCACCTTTTGCTGCCCAGATATGTATTTGGTAGTCTGCTAAGTGTATACGTAAACCTATGCATTTTACCTTACATCGTCCCAAAGCCTTAAAATCAAACTTAATTTGATTTTTTTGTTGAGTGTTGAACTTAAGGCTGTATGTCTTCACCTCAGTTCATGACATTTTCACGAAATCCGTTCATTTGGGACAACGACACCGATACTCGGTCATCTGTCGTCTCCCTGGACTTTTACGATGACGCAGGACACCCTCTGTCTGTGCACGACACACAGGAACCGCTACAGGTACACAGACTCCCGCTGACAGTCGCAATCTTCCTTATCTTCCATTATGTTGGGCATTATACTTCCTTATTCTTGCGTGAGCAAGGTCATATTTGTAACTGATAAGTCTTCTTCCAGATCAAGTCATCATAGATATTGTATACTGGGGCTTCCATGCTCGCGTCCTAAACAATATTTCTTATAGAGATGCCCTGTATACAAATAGGATGTCACCCAGGCTAGATATAAGCTACTACAAATATTAATCATCGATTTATCATGTGTGGGACCCTTACGGTTGACACACTTTTATGAGTAATTGTTTTATTACGAAGAAAACAACTTTTTATCATTTCTCATAGCCATCTTTCTAAGCCCCAATCTAATGTCACATTCCCAGGTCTTCGTTCAAAACTACGACACGCCGGGAACCCCCGAGGTTGTCTTCATGAACGACTCTGTAGTAGCCAGTAACGGCCTGTCGTACCACAGGATGGAGTCAGACAACATCTCCGTACCGACAGCCGTTTTTCTCATGCTTCTGCCACCCCCTCATGTTATAGGTCAGCATTTCACTTTCAGTAAATCTACAATTATGAGCCTCAATTGTTTTTACCAACATGTCGGTGTAGAGATATTGTATTTGGAAAGGATGACATCTTTATGCGCTATGATCAAGAAATACGGCATGGTCCAGAAAATACATTTTGCTATAACGTCATATCGTTTGTTTGCTCAATATAAATTCAGTGACGCTAACATAAGTACATTTTCTGACCATACATGTATCTATTACAGGTTGTAATAAATTTTTATAGTAATCTCATATTATAAGCGACCTAATCAAAACATTAAACCAAAGATCTAGAAGTTTAGAGCCAGAGGCTAAGGTATGATAAAGATTTATGTGATGTGGATGACTTTACCGTACACGTATTACACCAGGTTATCGACTGTACATGCAGTACAACGGGGTCCCGACTCCAGACAGCTACAACTTCACCACCGTCCTCCCACCGCTGCACACGGCGTGCAGAGTCGGGCCGTCTGGCTTAACCGGCACTGACGTCACTGCTACATTCCCCCGGGCATATCCAGAGGTCAACGGCACGTACTACATCGGGGTGGAAGAGCTGGGTACGTACGTGTTGCAGTACACGAGGAAGAAATAAAATGACCCATGACCAATTCTTTGCTGTCAGAACTTAGTATTTCCATGGTTAAAAATATTTTCACATGACGTCATAGCCTCCATGTTTGTTAGTTGGACAAGGAGGTTGCCTGTATTATATGGATATCTAAATGTACCATGTCATCATATCATTGTCATTACCACTTCTTCATGAACAAAATTCAAAAGTACGTAGCAGCTTCAGGGTTTAACCATACAACATGGCGGACAATACCTAATTGCACGTCATAGTCACGTGAGTGCCTTACAGATCCAACGGAGTGCAAGACCGTCCCCGGCGCGTCCTACGCTGACGTGACGGCTCGACTGAGGGCGGCACGGCGCAACGAGACGTACAAACTGGCCATTCTCACGCCCAGGTGCAACTGGTGGAACGTAGCTGGGAACAAGTGGAACCCGTCTGGTTGTACGGTACCTACACGTTCTGTACTTACCTGACGAACGGATTTGCAGTTGATCGCCAGTATATTTGAACATACCTAGTGCATACAGGATCTTTCATTCTAATTTCTGGATGGGTTCGAATCTTTATTAGCTCCCAATTGTCTGCTCGAGGGAAAGGCACTTTACACTTCTTTCTTCACTTGACTCAGGCTAGGTGGGAATGAGTACGTAGCTTAAGTTAGGAACGCCTGTCGTATAGGACGCTGTGTAGGGGGACCCGAGTTTGGGAAGAGCCACATCTCCAGCATGTCAAAGAACCTACAATTGGAGGTCCTCCAAGTTTTGGCTGGAAGTATTCGTTCTGACTATTGAACTTGAAATTCTTGATACTAGTAATAGCCTGAAATGAAACATATAAAATGTTTCCTTCCAGGTCGGCCCGCAAACGACAGCAACTCGCACCCAGTGCCTGACGACACATCTAACCTCGTTTGGAGCTGACTTCATCGTGCCGCCCAACTCCATCGACTTCAGCACGGTGTTCGCAAAGTTCGCCAACCTGAGTGACAACGCGGCGGTGTTCTCCACTGTCATCGTCATGTTTGGAGTGTACTTCATCGTCGTCGTCTTTGCGAGAAAAGCCGACAAGCGCGATGTACTGAAGGTACGTACCTTGTTTTAGTATAATGATTTTTTAATGGCAATGATTATGTTATCACCAAGAGAGGTCATTTTCTGATACGTTTTTGGTCACTTCTTTATACATATCTCCAACAACTGTAATTCTAAAGGCAATAATCATATTTGTAATATGACATCAATTTCAAATTGCTCGTGACACAAAGTTCGGTGTTTGATAACATCAGAAGGGTAGTATATTTGGTACAAAGAAACGTCAGACTGAATGTTATCAGGAAACGTATTTTTGTGTCATGGCAATGTCATTGGTGTTACAAGCACTTAAAAACAATAGCGGTCTCAAACACGGTAATAAGATATTATTCTCCCTCAGTGGGGAGTTCTCCCCATCGCCGACAACAGCAGGTGTGACGACCAGCTGTACCTGATCACCGTGTACACCGGCATGAAGGCCAACTCCGGTACCTCCTCCAGAGTCGGCATCATCCTGCATGGGGAAAACGGTGACTCCGGGCCGAGACCACTGGCAGCATGTCAACAGCAGGTGATTAATTATTCTAATGCTATCTTTGGGGAATATACTTTGAGCATATAAAAGAGCATATAAAACACACTAGATAGGCAAAATGATGGAAGATCTGTTTAACATACTCATTTCTCATTTCACCTGTGTAAGCTATATTGTTTTCTGTGTGTACGTGTGTACGTGTGTGTGTGTGTGTATATATATACTTGTAAAATACGTTACGAAAACTGTGTCAATGAAGCATTAATACGCCCTGCTCTGTAGTACATGACAGGGAGATGCGTCATAGGGAGAGTTCTTAGCGGTACAGCTTTCGTGCGTTTATGTGCATGTCGCTTTGGATTCATCTTCAGTCAACATCCTTGTGCATCCTTTTTCGACAGTTCCTGCACAGTTCTTGTTTTATTAATTACGACCATCATTCATTGTCTGCTCTATCGATATCCTTTCTTTTCTCTCAACCTAGGTCTTCAAGCGCGGCAGTGTGTCCACCTTCCTTCTGTCCACTTCTGAGAACCTCGGACATCTGACCAACGTCCACGTCTGGCACGACAGCTCTGGGGAAGGCGGAGAAGCAAGTTGGTTTCTAGATCGCCTTGTAGTTGAGGACCTGCAAAGCCATACTCGGTGAGAAAAATGTAACTACAGAGTACAGACGTTTGATGACGCCCGTATTGTATTCTTTTGGGTGAGTTCCTGGCTTTGTCTCGCCGTCCAACTTGATAGCTTCCTTTGCATGGTGTGTGGGAGGTAATTTTGACAGATGATTGATAAAGAGGTCACGCCTGAAGGTGATCAAGGTCACAACTAGGTGGAAATAAGTAGGTAGTAAAGGAAATGGTGTAATACCTGATCTTACAATCCTCTCTATAGTTCACGGAAAACCTTCTCGGAGGTTTGTAAATATTAAGGTTACGAAAACCCAACTTTAGTTTTCTAACTTTACTTGCCAGAAGTGTGCAATATCCGATTTCTTGTTTTTGATTACCTCACGTGAACCAATATTAGGTACGTGTTCTTTTGCCAACGCTGGCTGGCAGTAGAGATGGATGATGGGAAGGTGGACCGCTTCCTGAGCGCAGCCGGACGCGATGAACTCACCAACTTCTCATCGGTGTTCCAAACCAAGACTCGTCAGGACATCAGGTCAGAAACGATGATATATTAAAGAAAATACTAGTATTATTCCTTCATTCGGCATCTCAATGACATTGCGGGAGGCAAGAACATGACCATCCCAGACTGCGTGCTATGGATCCAGGGCGCGAAGCCTGGGCTGGGTTTATGGATCACATGAAGCTATATGTCACCATTCTTCAGTGTCAACTGGCTATTGCGAACTGTTATACTTTGCACAATTTGGGCTCATAGAAGACATGTCAAATAGCATTTATACGGACGTACTCAAGGAGTCAACATGTGACCTACCTTTAATGATGTACAGTTTTGAATGGTTGTCGATTCCTTCGCATCAGGGCATACGTATTTGAATGGTTCAACACAGCTACTGGTTAGTTATTGACCCGTCTTTAACCTTGCACAGCGACGGTCACCTGTGGTTCTCGGTAGCCTCCCGCCCCACACGGAGTCACTTCACCCGTGTCCAGCGGGCCTCCTGCTGCCTGTCTCTGGTCTTCCTCACCATGATCACTAACGCCATGTTCTATCGGACGGACGACAGCGTCAGACAACAGGTGGGTGGAGTATTACATGAGAACAGTCAGCATCTTTTGGTAATCCATGTGTTTTCCAAATATATTGAACTAACGTCTGTGTTGATCAGTAACGGATATACGTGTACATTTGTTCTTGTATTGTAGTGGTGTGGTTCATGCTTGCTCTCTTGCTAATCATGTCACGAGGTCTTCTCCCAACTGTTGGTTAGTTGGGGAAATTGCCACACTGCAGGATGACAAACAATGGATGACATCAGCAGGCGCGCATTAATCTTCGCACAATTAAAAAAAAAAACATGAAAAATGTCCTCCGACTATGGTCAACATGCCGAAAATATGCCGTTAACATCCATCAGCAAGACAAGGCTCTGATTTATTGCCTGGTATGTTATTTTTTTACTACATAACCTACATGAATATCTTGCCTATCTAACAGGTGTACCGGTTGGGCCCCCTGGTGTTCACCCTGAGCCAACTGTGGATCAGTTTTGTCAGCACGCTCATCGTGTTTCCTGTCAACTTCATCATCGTGTACGTCTTCCGCAAGTCTAGACCGAAACCGCGAACAAAACCGTCCTCTAGGTCTGAAGACATCTATAAGGTCGGTTTGTTGACATTTTAAAAGTCTTCCTATCTGTTTTTTCTGATGTATCATGATAATGCAATAAAGAACGACGAGACCCCTATAGATAATTCATTTTAATGCAACGCATTTAACAGATAGATAGAAACAATATACATTCGTGTTAATTAACATTTCCTTCATTTTTGCGTAATAGAGCGCATAATCTGATCAGTTCCATTGTTTTTTCATATCTTCGTCAGGTTGAACGTCCGCAGGAACACCAAGAGTCTGGCCTGCCCCACTGGTGTGTGTACATCGGCTGGGCTCTGGTCGTCCTGTCTGCAGCAGGCTCGGCCTTCTTCGTCATCCTCTACAGCATGGAGTGGGGAGCGGAGAAGTCGGGGCAGTGGCTGACGTCAATTCTACTCTCCATCTTCCAGTCTGTCCTCGTGATCCAACCGATTAAGGTAGTTTGACGTGTATATTAATTTTACGTCCTCGTAAAGTTGTTGTAATCTTGTCAAAATGCAACGCGCAACATAATGGTATAAATGTCAACAACTGAAACACCCAAAATAGATACGTAAAAGTGGAATACCAACTATTATGAATCTAATGTTACTTCTTTAACTATGGGATGGTTTGAGGATTTTTTCCCTAAGCAGAAAAAAGATCATGTGTCATGTCATGTATCTTTATCTCACAATTTTTAAGACTCCCAGAGCTTATTTCTTGATCTTTACTTGATAAAATTGTCTCATTTACAGGTGATTATATTTGCCGTCATCATTGCTGTTACTTTTAAGAAGTTCGGCAAGGAGGAAGATTCACTGGCGAGTGGCGGTCTGGCTGATGACGAGGAGATTCTTCCTCCAGCTGCGGATGCCAGTAAGGTTTCCCTGAACAAAGTACACACACATACAGCTGCATTCATTTCCCCAATAAGCCCCGTCACGCGTAATCCCTGTATTTTGTACCTGCAAGAATTATCTAAAGCTATCCCAGTGAGTATGTCCATGCTATATTTGACGAAAAGGAGCTCCACCCTACGATCATATCATACTTAATAGGTTGGTAAATCTCAGATACCGTACTGTAGCAATGTAAGGATAATGACTTTACAATTGTAGCATACGCAAGTAGAATATTTTCAACACGTTTTGGGGAGAAAAAGGATTGGGCCTCCCTTTCATAAACCATTGGTACTTGTTTGGTACAGAAGACGTAAAAGCCCCGAGGATGCCTGACTCCTCCACCGCCAGTAGAGAGGCTGATCTGGCGGCAGCTCGCAGCCGGCGGCTGAAGGAACTGCGGATGAACGTGATCCTGTGGGACGTCACCAAACACTTCCTGGTCGTGGCCGTGGTCTTCTATCTAGCCTTCAGCAGCGTCCCCATGCACGGATACTTCATGCAGAAGGCTCTCAACAACACGTTTTCTTCTATCAAAATGGTAAGCATGATCAGGATTCTCCTATATATAACACTTCATAGTCTCAACTGTTTTATAAAATCACGGTAAAAGAGTATCGAAAGACCTTATCACGATACAGGGCCATTGAATATCAGAGTTTCAGCTCTGCAAATTTTCACATATATCACATCTGTTTTGAATTTATGCCTCATTTCAAAACAAAACAAAAGAAATGGTCTTTAACAGAAAAGAACGAATTGACATGTAATGTCTCAATTCAAAATCAATAGCAGCACACAATATAGATGGTAGTGGTATCAGTTCCAGGCATTTAAGTGGCGTTCACTCAATAATCATTCCTGTAATAAACATTTGATTGGCAGGTGAAATCAGTGGATAGTGTCTGGTACTGGGCCAATGCTGAACTGCTCAAGATTCTATTCGCTCAACCGGAGAGCACCATTCTGGACGACCAGTCTTACAGGGTCGGGGCAGCTGCCTTCAAACAGTTCAGAAGCCGTCCAGGTGCGTAAAACATCATTATCTACAGTTGTAAGACTTTGAGATGCAAGAAAAACATAAAATAGAATAGTCTCTACATTAACACAGTTCAGTAACGTTATGTTATGACAATGTACAAACTTGGTCTGCCTGTTGTAAGCACTTTCTGCAAAACCTCTTAGAAGTTAACGCTGATGGCTACGTTTTCAACTGCTTAAAGCATGCGTAAACTCATTGTTCTTTTAAAAATATCGCATCGCAGGTGCCTGCGTGGCAAACACCATGCCTCTTCCAATCTGCAAGTTGGACTATTCCTTATCGCAGTACGAAAACGGAGATTTTGGAGTTGGATGGCGACCACTTTGGGACACAAACGTCACCAACATCCCGCTTAGGCGAAGACATCCGAGGAGAGACGTTCTAAGACTCCTGGCCAACGCCACCTCACGTCAACGTCCGTACGGAAGACTTGGAGATGTGGTAGACTTCTCCAGCAGATGGTATGGTCACTACGAACAGATGAGAAACGACTCCAGTTTCACTGCCTCCGTGGCATCAGCCTGGGTCTTCACACCGGGAACGTCTTTCCCCTACGGCGGGCAGGTAGACGCGTACACTGACGGGGCCTACATGTTCGAGATCGGCAACGATCCTCGTCAGGCCGTCCTCACCATGAAACATCTCCAAGAGCACGGCTGGTTGGACGACTTCACAGAAGCAGTTATAGTAGAGATTAATGCTTACAATGCTAACGCAGACTTGTTTGCGGTGATCGACTTAAAGGTAGAATTTCAGGCAGGCCGGGCCGCTACAACCACCATAGATATCCACATCTTCAAGTTGTACTCCTATCTGGGAACTGCTGGGCAGCTGACTATTGCGTTTCAGGTATATGTGAACCGTAGGTTCTTGGGATATTACTAGCTCTCCATTGCGTGGTTTAATGACCAAAACAACACATTGTGCTTTCGGTTGTCAAAATTCCAATTCTTTCATAGTAATCAATTTCGACTGCAGTTTTATGTTATGTACCACAAACATGCTACCATCGTCTGCCTCTGTTCCAGATTATCTTCGCCATCTTGTTTGCCTTCTCGCTGTTGAGAGAGGGGAAGAAACTAGTGAAACAGAAGAGGAAGTATTTCTCTCAGCCTTGGAATAACCTGGAATTCGTCCGACTTCTGCTGTGTGTTGTTGCCATCGTCATGTTTGCTGTGAAGGAGGGAGTTCGCGACTACCACGTCGACACACTGAAAAGTCTTCAGGGTACACACATACACGCAATATTTACAAAACCTCTTAAACTATCCACTTGTTTATTACGTTATCTACAAAGGCACAGCGTGCGCCAATGTTGAACGAACAAAATAAAGATACTTGTACAAACTATTTCGTTGTAACATTTAAGCATACCATTGATGTAATGTTAGCTGGTGTGTTACGCCGAAGGGCGGTTATACCGGCTATAAAGATACAGATAATGTGATTCAGTCTTATCTCTAAGGTTCTCAGTACCAATTCTCAATATCTCTCCCCTACATACAGGTGGCTATCATAGCTTCCGTCCTATTGCCGTCTACTCAGAGGTTTTCTCAGCTTTCTTGGCCATCCTTGTGTTCGTCATGACCTTACAGTTCCTGCAGCTGTTGGGCTTCAACCGTCTCATCGGAGCCCTCTTCCACACACTCAGCAACGCAGGCAGGAAGATCGCCATGTTCGCTTTACTGATATTCATTCTTATCACTGGTAAGTACCCGTTACCAAGATTTCAGTCACAAGATGAGCGTGTACAGGTGTACTTTAGAATCAGTTCTAATAGCACAGTTAATATCTAAGTACAACATTCATAGCTGTATCTCGACAGTAGACAAATGATGAAGTGGTCGAACCTGTCCGAAAAAGAAAGCAATACAAGTTGCTCACTGATTCAGTTCGACCATCGGAATTTTTGAACCCTTGCAATTGGCAGTTTTGCTCTGTACTATATTTTGTTGATATTGCTTGTTCATAGCATACAGTACCACCGGAGTCCTCCTTTTCGGACGTTGGAACCATGATTATATCAGCTTCCCTTCAGCCGTCCGGTCACAGCTGCTCATGATCTTCGAAACCGTCTCCTACCACAAGATCATCGTGAGTCATCCTGTCGTGGGTCGAATATTCTTCTTCAGGTAATGCACATGCGTACCGACCGACAAAATATATGATATTTAAAATGTAAATGGACACTTTTGAGGAAAAGTAATAAAATTAGTAGAATATTGCTGACATACGTCACTATATACGTCACTATCGATACATTTCGGAATAGCATTCATTCCATGTCTTTCACCCCTTGATATTATGTTTCTCTGAGATTCCTCTTTCCACTGGATGCATGGAGACTATCGAGCGCCCAAAATTGGATTTTATGACCTATGGCGTTACAGACTGTACATGGCCCGCTATGCATCCCTAAGTATGATCTAAAGTATGTTGCAGCGGTGCAAATACTGGAGAAATCAAACTTAAGTTTGACTGTCATGTAACTTCTGTGTAAACATTTAAACAGTCCATTTTTGTTGCAGCTACGTGGTCATCGCCATGATCATCATCCTGAACGTGTTCGTGTCCATCCTGGATGACGAGCTGCGGACGTCCAAGCGCGATCCCGGCGGTCTGGGCGGGGACACGGACATGGGGGAGTTCATGATGGACAGGTTCCTCCGGTTCCTGGGAGTGGACACTGGACATGTGGCTACTAAAGGTCAGCTCCAGTGCAGACTTAGTAGTGACCAGCCAGTGACCTAATTCTGAGAAACATTGTGGCTGGATCCAATCCAAGATTTTACAGCAATTCCGTTTGTGGCTTATTTACAGTACTTTGTTTCTCGAGCCGCCGCTGTGCTAGGTTAAAGATTCCATGTTCTCTGTGACGTTATTATAATTGGACACCATATTATGATCTCAGTGACAGTGATAAAAACTGAACATCAGATCTTTAATTCGCTGTCTAAAACTCTCGAAAAAAACCGTCTATCGCATTCTCATAGGGAATTAAAACAGACTCTTTAATTTATTAGCTATCTTTGGAACCAATTAACCAATGTTACACACCCCTATAATAGATGACCTGACGCACACAGACGACATAGATGCACAACTGAAAGAGCTGGAGGAAAAACTGGACCTGGTGCTGGAGAGGGCTGGCTCCATATAGTTTGCATAAACGACTGGATAACAAGGAAACCAAGTTTTGTTTTACCATCTAGTTTCATCTCAACAGCAATATAATAAAATAATATAATAAATGTCTCAAACACCTGAATATACAAGCATATATACAAGCAAATATACAAGCACACAATGCATGTGTCAGTGACTAGATAAGCTTTTATTATCACCATAAGGGCTAACTTAAAAGGGCTAACAAGAAAACAGAGGTGTTTGGTCGAAGCACAATGTAGTAATTTTAATTAAGATAATTGATCTTAAAATGTGCTTCACATTCTCTTCATGATTGTGCATTATTACACTAAATGAATGACAAGGTGTTAATAAACCTATGGATAGTAACATTATATATAATATAATGCCAGCTTTATTAATGAACAACAAATGTTTATGTGAATATTTATAAGCAAACAATATAGAGTAGCATTGCTATAGCCACCAAGATAGTACTGTCAAATAACTTATGGATAAAATAATTTCATATGAAGATATGACAATAATAGTATAATTCAATTCTGTCGTGACTTTGAAAGAAATAGCATAATAAGAACAGTATACTAAGTAAGTAGGAAAGAGTCTGTAATAATGTCTATATGCATCTTGCATGCATGTCAAAGGTGTTCAACATAACGTTCAACAAGGGCTGTTAACATGACTTAATAAACATTTCCTATTCTGAACAAAATGTAGTATCTCCTGCTGTGGTTTGTTAATGTTAATACTTAATAGCAAGAGGCCAAGTATTCATGCTGGCAGAACAGTCCAACTATATTAAAAGCTTACCATGTGATTCTGTTGCCATGAAACAATATTAACAAGATCCTCAACATAGATATATGAAACCCTTTTCACATAATAATGAAACTATACACTACAAAATAAAACCTGTTGAAATCAATCTAACTCATTGCACACAAGAAATTTCCTATAAGGGATAATAAAATTTAAATAGCAGTAGAGGTAATCAAGTTTTAGAGGTAATCATTTCCTACACTATCTGTGCTTCTAAGAAAATATAAGACTGCTGATGCAGTGAAAACTTAATTTACTTTACATTTAAGTAAAATCTTAAGTAGAGCCTTAATGGTGAAGTGGGATGGAGTTGATGCTGTACTAGCAGCCTTCTACTGGCTACCTAACCCTGTAACCAATACAACTTTCGTTGGTGCCAAAAGGCTACCTTACTATACTTGGTATCTGGCTGAAGGTTAGTCAGACATGGACATGGAGGCACAGAGGCTGCGTCTGCTGAGGGCCTGCTGCATGATGTCCTCACTCTCATCATGGCTGGTCCCTGTGATGTCCATGTGGATCTTGATAAGAGCCTCGGGCAGGAGGACTTTGAACACATAGTCAAGGTACTGTGGATAGAAAAAGGTCAACACAACAGAAAAATCATTGTGTAACATTGGAAAATCTACAGTCTGTGAATTCAGCGGGGAGAACCAGTCTGCCTTAAACAACTATTCATGCCCACTTCTAATATTCCATAAATCCATCTGCTATATTGTGCTGGGGCTCCAAACAGTAATGCCTAGACAACATTCATGTAGAAACTTTACAGTACAAGAAATGCCAAACTAGTACAGTTTAAAGTACATCAGTCTATATCTTGATATCAATGGATTACAAAGTCAATGGAATAGAAAAACTTGTAATGCTTTTTTCTTGGGTACAATCATAATTTCAAGATACTCAACAGGGTTGATCATACCTTGTTGTTGCCTGCTGGACAGTACCTGGCATTTAACACATCTAACACTTCGTCATGCTGGGATTCATGGAACATTCCCAACCGCACCTGGAAGTCAAGGTCAGCTGCAAAGAGGGGAAAGACAATATGTTCTCAATCAGGACTGTTCTGCTTCACAATGATCACAATGACTTGCAATCTGCAGGCATGTTGCTGTTTGGTTTGGTTTGGCCCAAATCATTTTATTTAAAGTTTTGTATTTTGATTGTGAGAGGATGTGTGCTGTGAGCTAGAAGGTATACATGTAGCTACCAGGAGCTGGACAGGAATGTGAGAGATGGAGGGGAAAGAGTCCAGAACATCTGAACAACTACATTTTTACCTTATCAAGTTGATGACAAGTGACATTGATCTTAATTAAGGCTAACAGTACATGACCATACCTCTGGCAATCCCTCCTCTCTTGTAATCTTCATGCCTCCTACAGAACAACTGCAAGATAAAAGAGTCAGACCAAAACCATGAGTTATAAATTCATGGTCTAACGCTTAGATACACTGTTTCTGAGCAGAATTCCAATGAAACTCTAGTTCAGGATTTACAATTAATCTGGGCTTTCTCAATATTACCGGGTATAGCAAAAACAGATAAAAATTTCACAGGACTACAAATTCAATGAAAACTTTATTTTTGCTTGGATTTTTATTTCAAACTATTGTTGTATTTTGGAAAAATATACACTTTACTTTGCGACTTTTGCATCCACAGTTCTGAAAATAAATTCAAGGATGAAACTTGTACTGACCTTGCCCTTGAAGATGTCCTTGAGGTAGCGATCCTCCTTCTGAACCAGGTATCTGATCTGCTCACTATTCAGGTCTTTCACATGCCTGTAAAGGGAAGTACATTGTTTTTATAAACTATTATTATCTTAAAATGGCTCTGAGAAAAAATCTCTCTACAGCAGCTCGATGAACAATATGCATTTTTGTAAACAACTTTACATACATTCAATACCTGATTTTCTTGATGGAGTTCTCCATCTCAGCTTTGTCTCCTGTTTGCCACTCATCAACAAAGCAAATCTCATCCACGTCATCTTCTGGTACATCGATAGCCTCTTCAACGGTACTGTTCCCATTCTGTATGTCTGTGGTATTTACCTCATCAACAATAACTGAACCGCTATCTGGATCATCTCTGACCTTGGTCTTCTTTGAAACCCTTGATTTAGAAATTTCTTGTCTTTTGTCACCTTGTCTGACCTCTTGAGAGGGTCTTGATACTGCTTTACTGCTTCTCTTTGATGGTCTATTGTCTTTTGAATTAGGTTCAATAACAACTTTTGACTTCTTGCCTCTTCCACCTTTTTTCATAGTCCCTGCTCTCTTGATAGTGCTAGGGCTAAGGGTTTGGGATGGAATGTCATTGTTGTAATCTACTACTTTTTCATCCCCATCTTCTTCAAAGGAATTAACTGTAGCCTTTTCACAGTGGCTCTCTGTGTTAGGATTCTTGCTGGTCCAATTTGTATCACCGCCATCTTTGGCTTCTATGTTCTGGCTGCTTACGGCATACTCCTCTGACACATTGGGACAACTGTCCAAATCCTGATCAAACACAGTGGACCTTGACTTCCTTGTCTTGCCTTCAAAACTACTTCTGTTGTGGTCCTCATCCCCAAGGGTTTCTGCTGAGTCAAGATCGAACACCTTTGACCTCTGCCTCCTGAACTCTAACCGCTTCCTCATTATTTGTGCTGGACCATGTTGTTTTGAGTGATGGCTGTCTTTTGACCTGCTTTCTACAACTGCCTTTTTGCTGACTTCACTCCCCTGAGAGCTGGTTAACTCCTTAGCTCTCTCACGAACTGGACTGAGGAGTCTTCTGAACTGCTCTGCCTGAGAGATGTCTACCAGCTTAACGACAGGTGACAGGTTCCGTTTTGAAAGAGAGATGTTATGTGTGCTTGGCTTCTGTTGACTTTTGCTGGGGGTCACATCTTTAACAGCAATGGCACCATCACTACCTGCAGACACTTGACTAGAGTTTGTGTCCTGCTGTGAAAATAATCCTTTGTTTACATCTGAATGCAGCTCATCCTCCTCATCATCAGATATCTCCATCTTTTTCATCTTTCTGTGGATTTTCTCCAACCTCCTGGATGCTTCCTTTTCCTGTGAGGATGGATGTTTAGATGATCGCTTGCCTGAGTTCCTGCTAATGCCAACAAAATCTTTGATGGACTCTTTGGTTCACTTTGGTTCTGGTCTTACCAGAACAACTCTCACTGTCCATTTTCTCCTCATTTGCAGTATCGTAGTCATCATCAGTTGCTGTGGAGGATGGAGTTGGAAGAGTAGCTGTGCCACATGTTTGCTTCTTGCTACTTTTCTGCTTCTTGTCTTCATCTTCTACTTTTTCCTGGGAAGAACTCTCATCATAGGTGTCCTGCCGTGACTGGGATGTATTGAAGCAGTTTTTCCTGACAGCTTTTTTGGACTTTTTCCGGGACAACTTACTAAATTTGCTTGGCTGCTTAATCAGAGGTGAATCCGACTTTCTTTTAGTTCTTCTCTTACTGGTTTTGAAGCCATTAAGACTGGATTCTGTTGATTCTTTAAACTGAATTCTTAAATCATTGCTTTGCCTGTTGTCACTGTCTAAACTTGATGGGCCTGCGCTGGTTGGGATCATTGTTGACCTATCAGGATCAAGATGTCTGTTTTCCCTTGCATCATGTGAGGTATCTAGAAACATTTGGTGCTGACCTTCTCCACTGAAATGGCTTGATTCTTTCTCAATATCTTTTCTGTCTTGAACTTGTGACTCGTGCGGATCATTGCCCACCACATTTTTGTGGTCTTCGGTATTCTGGATTTCCAACATGCCAAATCCCCTGCTTGTCATACTATTGGTGGTACCAATACTATCTTGATGTTGCACCATTGTGTCGACCCCCTTAGCTTCAACTTTGTGCCCATCCTCTGTTACTCTAGCTACCGAGTTGCTACCGTTGGTTCTCATCTTATGCATCTTAACATCCCCATCTTTACTGACAGAAGGGGCAGCAGCCTTGTTCTTCTTTGGCCTTCCCCTCTTTTTCTTTGGGAGCTCTCCTGATAACATATCTCCTACTTGAGACTTTTGGCTGTCAGGAAATGTGTTTGACTCCTGGCAGCTCCTTGCCACAGCGTTTGTAATCTCTTCTGATGTTCCTTCTCTAACTATCATTTTTATGTCAGCGGGAACAATGTCAGATGGCGCGTCCTCTGACCAATCTGACATCATCTCTACTTGATCACATGTTATGTCTTCAGTCTGAGTTTGTACACCATTCCTTGTTGTGTTAGGAACATTTTGATCGAGTATTTTTGAGTCAGACATGTGGCTTGATGATGCAGTGTCCTTCTGAATCTGATGATTCTTCCTCTTGGAGTTTTTCTTTTGAAGCTTTCCTCGTTTCATCCTATTTAAAAAAAAGAGCAGTTACAGTCTGATACTGAAATGTATGTATGATGTACAATTTGAAAAAAAATCATTTCATGCTACTAATATAACACTACAGCTACATACATTTTCCGGAGATTGGTCCTATTCTTCTCCTCAGCTACTGGGACCTGAGGACCATCAGGCATTGTTGAAGTTGTTGTTTTTTCAGGGGCCCGGCTGAAGTAGCTACTGATGTCTGTTGTTTCTCTCTGGGGCCAGGGGATCTGGCTCAAACCTTGCACCAACTGGAAAACAATACATCAGTGTAAGATGCTCATTTGCTATATTGCAGATTGCCTTTAATTTCTCTTATGTCTCTAATGTCATGGTAGTAGTACTTTCATCAACCCCATCTTGAATTACCAAGTCTACAACAAAACATCTGCCATAGCCAAAAAAGCTGCTAGAGGTCCCAAACCGATATCAGTGAAAAATATCACTTCTTGAAAAATCATTTGCTTAGGCTACACCGCCTTAATTTTATGGATGACATCCGCGCGCGCATTGATTTTCGCCTGTTCTCCAAAAAAAAAAAAAGAATCACGTCCTCCAAGGCTCTGGCCTGGCTCTAGGCTTGCGTAGTCCATGGTAGTTAGCGACAATACGGTGGCGGTAACTTTAGAGGATGGCACCCAGGCTACTAACGCGAAGCTCCACGACTCAAGAACTCAGTACATTCCGCAAAAAGCCAACATGTGCCGGCTTGTCGTATACGTCCCTATGTACTGCCTCAAATTCACAATACGATCTTTGTATTCCTGTGGTTTAGTAGCATTTTTATTTTTGGCCGGAATTTTTTTTTATTCGCCCGCGCGCACTAGTTTGGGGGTCTTCAGAGGATGTCATCCATAATATTAAATCAGTGTGGCCTGAGTGAGGAGAAAAGGCCAATACGGTGTAGATTGAATATTGCATCTAATATGCTTTTGGTATTGTCTATAGACATCCCACCGCCAAAATAAATTCACCTGGTCTGTAACAAAAATAAAAACATGCTCGAAATTGAGAATCAAATTTTGGGAAGAAATGTGTGTATTTTGTGTTTCCGAAAACTGCAGGCAAAGAGGAAATCATTTGGTCCAATAGAACCGTCAGGCACGTGGGGAAACTATATTATTTCCGGACAC